AATATAAGCTTATAAAGTATCTCTCTGGCTCTCCCTTACAAACAAATAAAATAAACTGTGTTTTTAAGTTCCACCTTTGAAAATTTGATTTCCGGAAACTTCTGTGATCAATGATTTTTTTAAACGTCTGGACCTTCAATCTCCGGATCACTGTTAGCAAAAAATCCGGATTTTTTCCGGAGCACAATCAGCCCTGAGTCTATATATTTCTTATAAACTTAATTTCCTGAATGAATACGTTTCTCATAACTAAATAGGAGAGTAGCTTTTCGATAACATAAAGTTATATTTTACTGAAAAAAGTTAAATGATTACTTATTTTTCCAATAAAATATTTGCTTTTAATGTTTTGAGGACCCATATAATCACTTTTACAGAAGCAACTAGGTATTTTTAAAATGGTATAACTTCTTCTTCAGGGTGTGTAGCTAAATTTTTAAACAAAAAATAAGCACCTTTTAAGCACTTTAAAATTAGGCAGGGTTGGTAAGTTTTAGACAATTGACGGTTTTAACAGTCATGTAAAAAAAGCCTTTTGATAATAGTTTTTTATTTTATTTTATAATTGTCATTGAACAGCCGACCCAATTTTTGGGTTTACGACTACCAATGTTCAACTTTGTAACCTGTAACTTTTAATCCAATCCAGAAGACAAGGGACTTTTTAAAAATGCTACGCACTCTGTTTTTGCGAAGTTTCTTTTATGAAAATGTTACTTAAGGTAGAGATAAAAGATGTCTTTGTTGCATTGTTATCTTAATTTAAAGTCATATATAAATTCAGTTGGTAACAATTTTAAAGTCATATATAAATTCAGTTTGTAACAATTTTAAAGTCATATATAAATTCAGTTTGTAACAATTGACTTATTAAGAATCCAGAAAAGTAACAAACAAATATCATAAGACAAAGTTGATTGTAAAAGACTATCCCTCTTCTGTTACTAAACTAGTTACTCAAATCAATTTTTTTTTATATTGATTATACTCTTCATGATGAGCAGTAATACATAAATAAAGGAGTTTCCAATGAGAAAACGTGTTAAAAAATGTTTGAATCATCATAAAGCAGATTTTTTCAAATTTAATAAGGTGTCATATTTCAGTAGAACCTCGATTAATCGTTTTGCTTGGGACTGTTCATTGTGTATTACGGATAGAGCAGTCTTTCTCAAAGTGGGCGATAACGCCCCCTTGGGGGCGTTTGAAACCTAGAGGGGGGCGTTAAGTGGCCCTGAAAAAATGGGGGGCGTTGATGTGGGTTAGGGGGCCGATGTATAATTTGTAATTTCATTTACTTTATGTAGTATTTTAAATTTCACTAAAATTAAAACCCACCTACTACACAATAACGAATAATTAGTTTATATTTCTACCCTGTATGATGTTATAAAACTTAAAATACTTAACATAGATTTCGTCGGATAGCCCGCACACCGTACGCAATCAAGTTGTAACAAGTTTCTTCGGACAGATAAAGGAACATGATCGATGATAGTTAAAAAATTAGAGCAATTTTACCTTAATTACATTGCACCAGAAATTATTTTAAATATTAGGAAAAAAACTACCATGCAGAGTTTTAAAATATTATACATACGTAAACTAACATAAATTGAAGTTTTCATTACTTTCTTTCTTGTTTTTAACATAAGGGTATTTTACAGCATTTTCCTAGCATTTTATAAGAAATTTTTGATGTAAGAATCATCATTTTTATATAAAATGGAAATACGTATATAATTATTGTTCAAAAAGTTGTGTTAGAAATTTTTTTTACAATTAACCCATTTCCGTCCAGTGTCAAATAGTATAGTAAGCCTAAACAGTTCACTTATTGTAAACATCGTTTACTATTTCTATATATTATAAATATTAAATATTACAAATAATAAAAACGCTGGCTTAGGCGGCGGTTTTTATTTGAACCAGTTCTAAATTATAAACTAAAATTCTATGAAAAATTACCCATATTTATCTATAATACGAAATGATATTAATTTATTTTCCGTAGTTAAATAAGTTATTATTGTTAGTAGTATTATTTACTAGTTGAAATATAAAATTTTAATTATCTTATGATGAGAATCTTATCTTATATTAATAAGAAAGATATTCAACAAAAATAGTTTCGTTCTAATAAATTAGTACAATAATTAGTACAATAATAGTACCGGAATCGCGATGGTCCCGATCGTTCCGGATAATCGGTTCTCTACTGTATAACTAAATTAATTAAAGTAATGAAATTGTGGTTTTTAAGTTTTAGGGGTGTATAAAAAATGGGGGGCGCTGAAGAATAGTTGATTTTCAAAGAGGGCGGTAAAAGAAATAAGTTTGATAATCACTGGGATAGAGGAAAACAATGAATGCGCGCCAACATAAAATATCAAATAATTGCTAAAAAATATAACACAAGTAGTAAATTTGAAAATGAGAAGATTTAATATTTCCATCAATCATAATGTTTGAAGCGGTTTCCCCAAACTATAACTAATTCTCATTTACTTAGAAATAATTTCAATTAATACTGATATCTGCAATAACATAAAAGTCAGTAAAATTTCTTAATACAGGCAGGAATCTGCTGGTTTCATAAGAATAGCATTTGTGACGGGACATTAAAACAAAATGATACAAATGAGGAAACGAAAGATAAGCATAAACATGGATTACGGTTCTACTGTACATGACTTTCAAGTATATATTGAAACAATTTTTATCAAAGAAACTGAAAAAATAAATGAATAAAAATCTGACAGGGTGGAAAATAATATACTATTCTTATTTTAATTTATTATAAAATGAAGAGCATCCATAATTCAAATGCTTTATAATTATTAAAACCTAAGCTGATTTATTAAAAAATAACGAAATTATAAAATTAAAATACTTATGCATTAAAGAAAATCTTTCCTTTAAAAAGCAATCAGTAATCTATGTTATCAAATTATTTTATTTGGATTTAATAATCTTAAAAACTAATAAAAAAAATTAAATAATTATTATTAAATAATAAATGACCAGATTATTAAATAATGAATGTCATATTTAACGAATAAATAAAAAAAATTCTTGAAATCTAATAAACAAATTTTTTTTTTAAAGTCACTGCCAGTTTTCTCAAAAACAATAATAAAATAAAGCAAAAATAAAGTTTAAAAGTAAATTCAAAGTAATTAAATAAAATTACTCATATTTTTTTTCCGCAATATATTATATATAGATATATAAGAACTTTATAAATAATAAGTCCTTACAAGATTAGGTAAATTTATTACTTCTTACTTCAGAATCATTTTACAAGTTGAAACCAACAAAAGTATATAAAAAAAACTAATGTATTTATTTTGTGTGTCCTTAAAATATTTTAAGACTACCTATTTAAATGATGTGTTTCAAATAATTCAAAAGCTAGAAACCTTAAAAATTTTTGGATATTTTTTAAGAAGTTAAGAATTATTATTTTTTAAATCAAAATTGATGTTCACAAATAATGAAATACATTATAAAATAAATTACTGCTTTTTTTTTACAACATTTTTATTGTTAGACAAATATAAAATGTTAGTTAAATATACAATACTACATTTAATTTACTCACATACAATATACTATCAAAGCCTGGTAACCAATCCATTTTATCATTAATAAAAAAAATACAGCTATATATATTTACATGTGTAACACTGAATGTCCGAAACAGAAATCAAAACCAATAACACATTTTCCATGTGTTATCTGATTCCCAGGCTATTTATTTTTTAAGTAAAATTATAAAAGGCTTCATTTTAAGTAAATTGGAATTATCAAAAATAAGTCAAAAGATTCCAGTAAAAAATAAATAGAACAATAATAGTATTTACAAAAAGCTCAGAAGTATTTAAATTAGAGCTTCAAATTTGCTTTTTATTCAATACCAGTCAAGCAGCTTAGAACTTCTTCAATATCATCCATTTCTTCAAAATCATCTATACCTTTTGTTTGTGATGTTTGACTGGCATTATCACTTGATAAACTAGATTGTAACTTTGGAATCGGCTTAGCAGGAGCTGTAATAAGAAGTAGAAATAAATGCATAAGATTTTAAATAAAATAAATTTTAAAAAAAGAAACGAAAGAAAATGATACACAGTGTGAATGATTAGGCATTAGAAAAATAGCAATATAATCAAAGTATTGATAGTTTGATACTATCAAAGTATTGATAATTCGATACTATCAAAGAATTGATATTTCAATACTATCTAAGTATTGATATTTCCTTTGTTAATGGTTGAAATTGCTACATCTTTTCAATCAGTAGGGATTGATACTTTCAAGTGATAGTATTAATACTTTTGTTTATCAATATATATGATATTTTGTAATGAAAATAGTATCAAAAAATTTATCTTTTTCTTACTAAGTTTATTGGAATTGGATCATATTATAATAGTATAAATACATACGAACTACATCTTATTTTCATATATTAATTAATTCTGCTTACAATAATTTATGAGGCATATCAAACATGAAGTCATGAATTCAACACGGACTGTAAAAAAGGTTAAACAATATTTTTAAAAAAATCAATTAAATATTACAACTAAATAATTTTATTTTGCACTACTCTATTTCTCTGTAAAATATAGTTGCTAAATAAATTATTCTTATAATTGAATCCTTGAATTCCGATTTACCTAAAGGACAATAAGCCAGATTCTACTTTAAGAAATGCTTCATTTCAAACATTGCTCTTGCAATTCACAGTTATTTATACAGTAACCAAAACTGGCTAATTTTAATTAATTTACAGGACAAAAACAAATAAATATTGATAATAATGTATCGCAATCAATAATTTAAGCTAAAAATATATGAAAATTCAGTATCAAGTTTTGATAGTATAGGTGGTTATCAATATTTTTCTTTGGATACTGTATCTCTGTGAAAGATAAATTTAACAAACCATAAGTTCATTTAAAAACAATTTTTTACTTTTTCTTATTAATAAATCTGGATCAATAATGTCCTTCCCATTAGCAGCTCAACAACAAACTTAAAATATATTGATTTCCAATCAATCTGGAATCTTTTCAAAATTTAAGATAAATCCATTTGTGCTTACATCCTGTCTTATAATAAAATAATAGTAAAAGTGCATCATAAGGTCAGCTGAATGATGTTCAGAATAAATTATTTATTTTCAAAAAATTTTTTTCCCATAAATTTTTAATAATGGCAACACATACCAAGTCAAATTTGTCACACGTTTTTATAAATAATTGGTACCCAGGAAATATTTAAAACTCTAATGAACATAATTTTATATTTGAATAGTTTTTTGCCTTAGCCCTCATCAAACTAAACTCAGTGGTGCCCTCATCAAAGAATACCTTAAATTTGTCAGATAAATTAAAAAATTTCTTTTGTTTAAAAATTTGAAATTTCTTTTACTAATTTTTCAATTGATTTCCTGACATTTAAAATAAATATAAAAAACATCATGGAAGAACTTTGGCATACAATAATTGTTTAATATTGCAGACCTGATCTTGGTAACTGTTTGCTATTATTTTATTTTACTCTACAGAAAGGACAATAAAACGTTATTAGCCAGATAAAATTTATTGAAAGAGAAATGAGTTGAGTACTATTAGTATGTATGTTTTTAGGAACAATCAGAAAGTAGTAAAACCAAATCCAACAATGTTTATAAGTTCAATGTTTATATCTAAACTATTATTAAAAAGGGAAAAGAATAAAATTAAGTAAATTAGAATTAAGGTAAATCTTCACATAATTAGTGGATAATCAAAATTTAATAAAATATTTTATGCTTAGCTCTTACTCTAAACAATGTTAGTGATCAATTAATATGAAAATTAATATTATTTACTTGTGAAACAATTTAGAATTTCAAAAATCATCATAAAACAGCTTTTTTTCACCAAGAAACAGCAAAAATAAAATGACACAGAATAAAAGTAAATAAAAAAGACACACAGTAGATATCATAAGCAAAACATGTGGGGAAAATTTTAAGGCATAAATCACTGCCTATTACAAAACAATAAAATATATTATATTTATGGTTTTGCATAATAATAAAGTAATAATAAAGTTTAGAACTTTAATTTCTTAAGTTACCCTTAAAATCAGAAGAACTCCATGTCTATTTAAGTACAAATTATCTAAATACGTTTAAATGTCCGTACATTGCATCCTTTAAAGATAAATATGTTTTAATTCAGATTGTTAAAAAAAGTATGAATTAACTAAATCTATGTGCATAAAAATGTTATTAAAATTATATATCTATTGTTTTTCTTTAAAAGAAAATTACTAACTCTAAAGTAATGTAAAAAATTTTAGTAAAAAGGTTGAGCTTTGAAATATTTAAATGAATGTTCGAAATAAAAATGTACAGGAACCATAAAAAACTACAAACAACAATTTAAATTTTAATATGCAATATTATTATTTTATAAAAGCTATAAAATAAAAATATATATTAAAATAGAAAAACCACAGAAAATATATGAATCTAACTCTAACAATTTCAATATTAATTATTATTGCATTAAAAAGTCATTAAATAACAAACAAACACTAATATAAACTACATCTTACATGTTATTTTAAATTCTGAAAACGTAATTTTTTTTATTTTGGTACAAGAGGTTTGAAAACCCTTGATTCAAAGCATAGAAAATTATTTTGCACAATAAAAATTAAAAAAAATTTAAATTTTTTTTAAAAACTTTATGTGTACATTGAACAGTCCAACAAAGTATTAAGCTTTAGATAAAAATCGTCATTAAAGAGAGAAAAATAATAATAAAGTCTAGAAATTTAATTTCTTAAGTTACCCTTAAAATCAGAAGAACTCCATGTCTATTTAAGTACAAATTATCTAAATATGTTAAAATGTCCGTACATTGCATCCTTTAACCCTTTCGCGACGCAAAGCGCGAAAGCGCGCTTACCGCTGAGGCCGGCAGTCTCTCTAGCGTGTGTCTCCCCAGGGCCGGAGGGTTTTTTGATGTTAAGCCTAATTTCATGATATTACCGAAATATCAGCGCGTTGTTTAATATTGTTCTGTAGAGTATTTAAGTGACATATGCTTTATATATATTTCCATGGATACTTTATTTACTTAAGTTATTTCTTGTTTAAATGCAATATAAATGTTAATAAGTTTAAATATTTTGCATAATTTCCTCTATTTCCAGCTCAGTTAAAATTTTTCGACGCTTCGACATTCTAACGGTAAAAAGAAAAAAAATTCAAGCCTACAAGATCTAATTATCCACTAAAAACTAATCCGAAAATCGAAAGTAGTGAGAGAAAAGAGAAACTCCCTTACTTACTGTAAATAAATATCACGTGCTAATTAAAAGAGCCCTCATAAAACATTTCCCCCCTCCACTCCTTCCCCTAGAAACCACGTGAATGTACTTTCATCTTGAGTAGAAGGTCAAATCTACATGTATCTGAAACCATATGGACATACAATGCCATCTTTTGGAAGAAATTTCATTTTTTAAAACGTTCCGAAACGCTGGCACAAATAAGCGACGGTCGGGGGTGAACGAGAAAACTCTCTGACACGCGGGTGTGTCGGCCGGGAAGTGAGCGCGTTTCTTGCTGGCACATATATGTGACAGTCGGCTCGAAAGGGTTAAAGATAAATATGTTTTAATTCAGATTGTTAAAAAAAGTATGAATTAACTAAAGCTATGTGTATAAAAATGTTATTAAAATTTTGATGAAAATTATATAAATAAATGCAGATAATAAGATGAATAGATAGATAAAGATATAAATAGATGAAGAGCAAACTTTTTGGCAAAATTCTGCAATAATCGATGTTTACCTCGTTCCTTTTTAATTCCTTTCCTAATCTTTTCACTTTCTTCAAAATACTGATTAGGGTGGCTAATTCCTTGATCAATAGATGTTTCTTGGTGGGAGAGTTCGAAAAATCGAGTGCAAGCTATTTGATAGTGTCCTCGTGTAGTTAAGTCAAGAATCTATGAGAGAAAACAATGTTAAAATGCCATTAAATAATATTGATATGGCAAAATAAATCAGGTTTCACACACATTATAAAAAACCAAACCAAAGAATATTTTTAACCAATGAAAGGTCATTGATGTGAGAATTTCAAGTCAAATATTATGAAAACATCAATGTTGAATAGAAACAGTTTTAAGTCTTTTTTACTTTTCCTTACGGCTGGCACATTGAGTGGACCAGAATGGCTTCATCATACTATGCACCGTAAGCAAAAAGTTGAATTAACCCATTGCTTACATTATTCCAAGTTGTACCATCACATGCGGTCCACATGTTGTACCAGCCGTAAACAAAAGGTTAAGAAAAAAAGACTAAGAACAAAAATTAAACCAGAGTAAAATCTTTTTATGCAAGAATTTAAATTCTTAACAGAGGAAACAAACAAAATAAAATGATTTGATCTGGTAGAACTGTTTTGAGTTTTATAGTTTTGAGCAGAGGTGCATAAATTCTCTGAGCCTAATATTTCCCCAAAGCACAATTTTCTTGGTTAGAAATTTCCCCTAAAATTATGGTCAATAACTTTTTCAAAATATTTTTAGAAAGTTAAGTTTTAAAAATAGTTCAAAAAAAATTCATCCTAATTTTTATTTAACAAAGCATTTCACTCTACTGCTAATACAATTTAAAAGTTCCGAAAAAACTACCAATTTCATACTTTACAACAAAAATTTATTTTTGATTCTAGTTTAATGTGATTTAAAGTTAACTAAATAACGAATCAAAATAAGAAAATCTCCAGTTGGAAAAATAGATGTTCAAGAAAAATTTAAATATTTAGACCACAAAGTATATAAAACCAGATTTTTATACTCAGACAAACCAAGAACCAATTAAAAATAAAATCAAAAGAAGGTGGAGGTAGATTTTTCATATTCTCAAAATGTCTCCTACTAAAATTCTAGCAGTTGCCTTAACATGGGTTTCAGATCGTAAAGTAAACAAGAAAAATGCATGTCAATATAGAAAAGAGGAGAGAAACCAGGTCAGATGAAGTAGTTAGAAATAAGATTCGTAGCATCTGGTCAACTGAGATGCCAAATAAGTTAGACCTTATGAGCCACTGAGCATGTAGAAAACAAGTAAGTCAATGTGGTTTTTAAAAAATGATTACCTAGATCAGCAGTTACCAAAAAGTGCTCTGCGGAGCCCTAGAGCACTTCCATAAACAAATCACAGGTGCTCCGAGAATTTAAATCTTTTAAAATAGAAATTATTCTTAAAACCTGTAATTCTATTTATATCTCAACAATAAAACATTATATATTTTTTCACATTAAATATTAATTTGTATTAAGTTTACAGCTGCTAACGAATTTGATTTATATATTTGGGGTTCCACCAAAAGAAGTTTGCTTGCTTAGGGTTTCATAGTTGTAAAAAATTGTAAATGGCTGATCTAAATAACTCTAAGCCGATACACCATGTATACAGTAGAGGGCAAGAAAGATGCATTGGGACGATTTTGAGGACTTTTGCAAAAAAGTACCTCTTTCTCAAAAAAGGCAGCATTGACAATGATAAAAAAAATTTTCCTAAGAAAAATCAGAACTAGCTTAAATCGTATCAAAATAAAATAGTTTCCACGGATAAAGAATCCTTTACAGATAACATATTTCAAAACGAGGTAATAATAAAACTCCACTTACATTTTCTATACCAGTTTTACTAATATGCAAATTCTGTAGCCTCTGCTTTAAATTGCTTTGATCTGAATGCTTGAATGGACAACCTGTAAAAAAATAGTGCATAAGCAAAAGATGATAAATTGATGATTGGGTATAAAATTGTCACAAAACTATAAAAACTAACCATGATGTTCACCAGGGCCTGGAGCATTGGATGTGATGATTTTGACGCAACTATAAGGAGAAAAGTTAGCTCTCTTTCCTTCTTTTCCATAATTGTACCGGATGTTGTAGGTGTATTGTTTATCAAACTATACAACAAAATAAAAATAAATTTTTTTAGCAACAGCAGAACAATAGAAATTGAAAATAAAAATAAAAGTTTACAACAATAAAATGTAAAAGTAAGCAACTAAATCAAGAGTGATTGGGACACAAAGTGAAAAAACCTTGAAAATTTTATGTGCAAAAAATTTATATTAAGATAACAATTTATATACCATACAAGTTTCATATTTACAATAACTTTTTGAATTAACATTTATGATTAAGTTACCTACTAATGAAGAATATTGCACCTTTATAGTAACTAATTCAAGGAAAAAACATACTTCTTACAAGAATCACGATATCGGATTTTAAAATCGAGTGGCTGTGAATCGCAATGATAGATTTAAATGCGGAAATCCACAAACCAATGATCTTGTGATACATTACGATCATTAACATAACATTGCATATCATTAACATAAAGGAACAGGAACAAGTTTAGCTGAACATGATCTATTCCTTAAAATAGATATTTAAAGAGTTGTACAAAAGGTATGTTACTCCTCTAGAAAAAGCAACACACTTAAAATTAAATTTCACTATATGGTGAGTAAGGAAAAAGCATAATAAACGGTAAGATCAGACTGATTGGTCACACTATTTTCAACTATCCTATTAAACAGTAATTCACAAAAAAAGCTCCCACATGAATGCATGCAGAATGCCCCTTGATGAAGTCATGTATATCATTCATGTTTGTTTTGTTCTATTTAAATTTACTTTGCATTTTAACTATAATTTTATAATCTTTTTATAATGCTGTTTGATTCAAGGTACGTTTATTAAATTAAATAGTTCTCTTGAGTGACAATTATTTAATTAATTTCATCCTATTCTGAGTGATTGGTTTAAGGATAATTGGATTAATGAACATCATATGATATATAATAAGTTGTTTTTTTACAAATGCAGAATTCATTCTTTCATAATGTCTAGAAATATCTCAAAAACGTTGTTAATTGTTGTATTGAAATATATATTAATTATAACAAGTTTGAAAGCTGTAAGATTACCAATTAATTTGATAGTTTTTGACACAAATTATTGATCTGTCTGTAGCCAAAAAGCAGTTTTAGAAGTAGAGGTGATATTTTAAAAATAAAGTTATGGTTTCTATTTTTATGCCTGCCTATATAAATTTTGGAAATAAAGGGCTTAAGGTAACGAATTCAAAAATTAAACCTAGATAAAAAATTACTTAAATCAATGTTTATTGGTAGCTAATTATTCAATTTATAGACTACAAGTTTAAAATGTGTCCGGTTTTATACATCTTTTATTTATAATCAAACAAATTAATGTTGCCTAAAAGAAATACTTTTTAATTAACATTAAAATACAGATAATAATAAAATTTAACGATTGCAACTTCTGAAAATGATAAAGTAGAATGGATATCATCCCAATTTCATAAAACTAGCAAAAGTTTGAGTTTATTTGAAGAATGTTTAGTTATATAGGGTTATGATAAAAAAGCATTTTTAAGGGTAGAATGACAGCAATCAAAACTTTTTAACAAAGTAAAATAACAGTAAATTTTAAATAAATAAAAAATAAAATTAAGAACAGTAAAATATAGCAATATTTGTCTTTATGCTAAAAGAGGAAAATATCATTAAGGTAACTAAAAAAACTTTGGAATGAACATTAACAACATTTCTTGAAATATAATGTTTTCCATGTTTTTTTAAAAAAGTTATTAAACCAAAGCTATTAGTACTATGGTTAAAACAGATATAGGGTTAAAATATCGTATCTGGCATAGCTGGCTAATATACCAGATAATTGGCAGTCCCCGGTATTAAAATTTATTCCGCAGTTGATCCAGTCTAAAATTATCTACTGAAAAATCACATTAATGTAACTAAAAATTGAAATATTTAAAATTAAATTAGAAACATTTGGTTAATTTTTAATATTTTATCCGGCCAAATTAATATCCATTACACCACTAATAAGTATCACTTAAATATCTAAGCTAAAAAGGTAATCAAAAGTTTTACCACCAAGTATGATTAATAAATAATAAAAATCTCAATTCATTTTGCCTAAACAGCAAATTTAAACAGTATAACATGTTTTGTATACCTCTTAAAAACATATAATTATATATATATATAGTATATATATCATAAAAATATACTAATATTGAAATTTATTTATTTTTAAGTAACATATTTTAAATCTGATGCAGGAAAAATATTATTTGAATATAACTTTTTACACATTTCAACAGCATTTAGACATATTTTACCATTTAAATTTAAGAAAAAAAATAGGTAGAAAAATAATAATTAATAAATAAATTGAATAACCTTATCACTGTCCATAACTTTAGTAAATTCTTCCCGCCAAAAGCGTAATGCATCATCTAATGACAAACCAATTCCTTTAAGGAACAGGCCATATTGTAATCTTCCATTATATTTCAGATGATGGTTTTTTCTTAATGTCTCATGCAAATTCCTCATACATAAAGGAAATGCCACTTTTGAAAGCTGAAAAAAAGTTTAAATATAAGAAAATAACAATAAAAAAATTTACTGCATATATTCAAAACCATTTATTTTAAATTAAGAATTTTTTTAAACTTTAATATAAATTAAGAGAGGTACGTAAGCTTCATGCAAATTAAAAATAAAATTATGAAAAACAAATTACTAAACAATTTTTATGTAAATTAGTACAGTATACTTCATATTTTACATGTTTGTATAATTAGGATTATATATTTTACACAAAAAGAGAGAATAAGTAAAATTTTTAAGAGCAGAAAATATTCATAAATCTGTTGTTCTCTTTGAAAAGAAATTTACTATTATAGTAATATCATTTTTAAAAACTAATGAACGCATGATATATTAGTTTACAAAATTAATGAAGGTTTGTTGGTTTGTGACCACTAATATCCGATTCTCAGATCACTGTGATCATATTTAGTGTTCCCCCAGACCAGTGACTCCAGATTATACATGTTTGCGTAAATAGAACTTCTAAAATTTTACACAAAAAAGCAAATACGAAAATTTTTAAAGAGTGGAAAATATGATTCATAAATTTATTGTTTTCTTTGAAAAGAAATCAACTATTACAGTAAGCAAATTCTTAAAAGTAATGAACAACACTTAGGATATTTGGTTTCCCTTTTAATAGTGGTTCGAGACCATTAAAATCCGATACTCGGATCACTGTCATAACTTTTAGTCTTCCCCCAGACAAGTGACCCACTGCTGTCAATAAAATGTAAAGGATTTGATTTTTCCTGGCAATCATAAGAAGAGAGACATTTTGAATTCTCCCAATTTTAGCCATGTGTCGATAAAGAACACTTCAAGCTTCTGGTGAATTTCTAACCAGCTTTATGTAAAGCTTAATTAGAAATAAACAAGAAATCTTTATGAATAGTTTAATAAAAATGTAGACGGACTTGTGAAATCAGATACTCGTCGTCCCTTGTCCAGTAGCTATATTTTCTTAAGTTTCTTGCCCTGATATGTCAGACAAACGAATTTATTATCAATTATGTATGGCAAGTGATGAGTATTTCCTAACCAATGCCTTCTTGAGAGTGAACTAACAAGCTTATGAATTTAGGAAGATTTTGCCCATTAAGAAAGAAACTGAGAATTAAGGGATTCTGTTTATAAAACCAAAAAGGAGAGAATAAGGAGGATTTGCCCATAGTGCCTTTATTTTTTTCTTCTCTATCTTAGATGGTTCTGTCACGCACTTTTTTCTATTCATAAAGAATACAAGATTTTTCATGCAAGCAAAATAGTGTCAAATAAATAAGTACATAAAATAGGTAAAAAATAGACAATGGTATTTGGTAGTTTTTATAAACATTTTGGGTCAACTTTTTAAGAAATAACTCCATTAATAATAGATTTTTTTTGGAAAAATAGAAATAATAAACGCTTGCTTTCGATTTGAATTTAAGTAAAGAAATTATGCTTTAATTTTGAATGCTTCATTAGAATGAACAGCAAACTCAATTGATGTAATGGGTTTTAAAATAATAATGAATTTATAAAATAGGGAATGGAAATTAATGCATGGTTCATTATAATAGTCACTGTAATGGGAGATCACAGTAAAGAGTTTAGACTATACATAAAAGCTTTTTCTCAATTTATGAAGCTCCATAAAGAAATCATATGAAAACCTTAAGCATAAAAAATAAATAAGTAAAATAAATTTACATTATCTATCTGATCAGGAGTTATTTCGCCTGTGAAACTAGCCTTCTTATTGCTATAATCAGTTCCAATATAACGCTGATGCAAAGTACTTAGCATGCTTATAAGACGAGTATCTTCTTCCAACTGAGGTAATGCCCTTGAAGTAACCTGAAAGGATTATATAAAAATTTTATTAACAAAATGAAATATTATTATTAGTTTTGAGCTTCCTATACATTTTTAAAAGGGTTATCTAATTGTTAACTGTCAATTTATTATTACTGTCAAACCCCGCTATAGTGAACCTTCAAGGGACCTAAATTTCGGTTCACTATAACCGGGAGTTCACTATATCCGTTACGCAGGCAATTTCACTAATGGTTCCCAAACTCCTCCCTTTTATTACATTATATTCATATAAATGACTGAAAAATATTATGTAGTAGCAAAAAATTCGTTATTTTTCATCACTCTTCGTCTTGCGTACAAATAAAGTAATATTAGTAATTTTTAGCTGATGAGCAATCCTTAACATCAGATATGGAAACACTTCCCGACTCTAAGATAATTTTTCCTGAATTTCTGTTATACCGCTTTTTAAACCTGTCTAACCTGCCAGTCGAGCACATAAAAGTAGTTTCTATAGATGGTTTTAAAAATCGGTATATGTATTTATTTTGAAGTAGAAATTTGAAAATTATTACAAAGAAAATGGGGGAGGGGGAAATCAGTTGAAGACAGAAAAAAGTTCATTATATCCAACTTCCTCACTTTTTTGGTTCACTATATCCACTAAAAATAACATTATACGTGTATAGCAAGGCACGGGACCGAGCATTTCGTTCACTATATCCGGGAGTTCACTATAAGCCGTGTTCACCATAGCGGTGTTTGACTGTATTATTTTTTTTAATGAACTAGTTTCCTTATTCTGTCACTCATTATATTTATTTTTACAACAATTTACAACAAAAAAATTTTGAAAAGCATTTAAACTTAGAGGTAATTAAAATAGAGCTTAACAACTAAGGTCTACATATTAGATTTAAATAATAAGTAAAACTCAGTTGGGAAAGTTTATGTATTGTATTACAATTGCATACGTAAAATGTTTATAAATTTCTCCCTTTTTTTTATATAATATATTTAAGTAAAAAGAGACTTGAATGTATCAAGACAAATTATAATTATTATAAAGCATTGCATGGAGAAATTAAATTAACTTGCAAGCATCTTGTCCAATTCTTCTTCCGCACAACAGCCTAGAAAAAGCCAAGGTTGTCCCAATTAGCTTCCGCCATCGCTGTTAATCTAAGACCACTGTTTTCACATTTCCGACATCTAACACTACAAGATCTTTTTCTAAATTGTTCAGCTCCCAAATGGCTGAGCGACCTTTTATCCTGATGCCAGAAGGTTTGCCAAAAGTCTGTTTCTTTACAGAATTTGGTTATTCTTACTTTTTCATGTGTTCAAGCAATCTTATATCATATGCTTTAATGATTTAAATGATATTGGGCTTTTTAAAATTTTTACAGATTTCACTGTATTTACTATACGCTAAACTTCATTCACAGGGTCATAAATTTTCCTCAAAATTTTTCTTTCAATGATCAGCAGTTTATCTTCTACTGCCACCATACAAGACTAGTTAATAAATTTCGAATAGTAATGTTTGTTAGCATTCTTTTTAATCCATAAAAATGTCTGTTTGCCCTCATAATGTGATTATCGATTTCTGTTGCAACATTATTTTTCTTAATTTTAATGTTGAAAGCTATTTAAATTCAGAAACTCTATGAAACCTGTAATTATTTATTACAAGAAATTTAAGGTTGGTCTTTCGATTGGAGATTTCCAAATACTTGGCTTTTGTTTCATTGATTGTTAAGCCTGCATTTTTAACAGTTCTTGTTTAATTAGTTTAAAAAATATGCTATAAAATAATAAATTATTCCTTATGGAAAAAGAAAAACATAATTTATATAAACAAGCATAATTAGATGTTATATTAACTTAAAAGACATATTGAAATAGTACTTGTAAGATAGAATATAGAGATAAATATACAATGCAAATGCTTTTATTACTTACAGCTAATGCATGTGAAAGATGGGCTCTATATGCTGACACAACAGTGACAACTAGATCCTCTTCAGGGATATATGCTGATCCTCTCTCCAAATATACTTTACGGTTTTTTATGAGATCTAAAACTTCCGTAAAAGGGACCTAAAATTAAATTTTTTTCAAAGATGTTCAAATACCACAAGATTATAATTTCTTTATAATAACGCAATTAATGCTAAAAAATTGACTTTACCTTATAAAACTTTGAAGCCAAAACTTTAGTTATTGAATGGTTAAAACCTAAGTACAATTTCGAACTCAACTGTTCCTTTTCCTCACTTGTGATCTATAAAATTATGAAACATAAGTGAAAAGAACTAATATTCTTAAACTATTATTTCTTTTTTTTTTTACAGGAGTAGTAATTAATTAAAAGAGCTTCACATTAACACCCTTAAAAATTAAGTATTTTTATTTTCTGAAAAATAGCAAAAATAATACAAGAACTATATAATAGTATATAACAGTAAAAAAAGAATATTTTGAGTTAAAACTGTATGAAGATTTTAGGATTATCTGTTCAAGGCTCTTAATCTTCTGCACATTAAACATTTGAACAAGTTAATATAGATTTATCCTTTCATTACGTTAAAACTGAAATACACAGGGAAAAACTAGTTATGCAGATAATAAATTAGAACAAATGCAAAAATTTTAAGGTTAAACATTTATTAGGCACACAGCACTTGGGTAGATACAAGAGTTGGCAAAAACCATAATATTTTTTAAAAAGTAATAAAATCAGATTTATTTGATTTAAATTGGATTATTTTTTATACAAATATTTTCTTACATTTATCAACTAAATCATTTAATATGATCTTTAAATAATACTTAATGTTACTTAAAATATATAATATTTTAAACTAATATGTTTAAAATTATCATTTAATTCTTACAATAAACCATTAGCTTGATATTCTAAAATGTTAAAGACAATAAGCAATTTGTCTGAGAGAGATTTTATGAAGAGTAAATTAGTTTAAAACAGAATTCTTTTAAAAAAGAAAAAATTCAAACTTTCTTAAGGAAAAACAAGTCTTTCTTCATTATTAATATATACTTACTGCATATTTAATACATTTTAAAAAACTAAATGGGGACAATTGAAAGTTGTTTAACGCCAGCAAATACAGATAATGAAAAACTATAATTTAATGGCTTTTATCCCACTCTTTACCAATTGTCACTTTTTTTAAACTTGTTAATCTGTTTTTTGTTTGTGTTAACAGTTAAATAACATTTTAAAATAAAACTTGACATTCGCTTTTTTGTAACCACATGGGACAATAAGTTGACTGTTATTTTTATTGAAAAAGATTGAAAAGAAAATTACATAAAATGTAAGAAATAAATGAAATATTTAGGTAATACCAATAAAAGTTTAATAGCCTACTTCAAGACAAAATAAAGAATTATAATATAAGCATTTTTTAAAATTGCAATCGATTAGTCAAATTCTGGTTTAGATTCTTAGTAGAATTAAACTTTTGTAAAAATTTCATGCATGATAGATTAATCCCCACAGACGACTTTTTACTAAAAAATTTTATTAATTTAATTAACACAATCAAATAATTTTAAAAGTAAAATTGACAAAAATAAAAACTAAATACTACTGATGATATTGAACATATTTGTCATAGTCGTTGAACATATTTGAAAAGAATCAAAACTATTGATATGACTATAATCCTATCATTTAGATCAGGGGTATCCAACTGGCGGCCGCATCCGGCCTGCGGAGCCTTTTTTTGTGGCCCGCGAACTAAAATTTACTAGTTGTCATTTTTTTTTAGCAATTTTCGTTAAAAAATCTATATGGGTTTAAAATACTTTTCTCGATAATAAAAACCTAATTTCGTCGTTTCTGTGAAATTTAACATACCAACGGTGCAAAAAAAGTTTATTTCTCAGGTTTTGCATCCAAGAAAATATTTATTCAAATACAAAAATAATCGTGTATGTTTCTCTTTTTTTATTTCATTTTTTTGTATTTTGTGAATATAATTAAGCGTGTGTGTATCAGAAATTTTCTCGAAGAAATTCTCCTATTCAACTTTTTGAAACCATTCATTTAGGCCGAAAATATTTACACGCACATTTGAAAATCTAAAATTTAAATATCTATTCTCTGGTGGTTGCAGCAGACACATCTCAATTTTCTCATTGAACATTTTGTGTGGCACTGTGTAAGTTTTAATGCCAACTTTTTTAAAGTTTTATATCTTAACAGTTATATATCTATTGCACATTAATTGCTTAATACATAGGTGCACATTAAAGTTATTGTAGCCCGAATTTTTATTATTTATTTAATATTTTTTTAAATATTATTAATAACAATTAAGTATTTTTAAAAATCTACTTCTTATTTTAATTTGTGATTCAATACTTTTGTTTTGTACAACTTGGTAAAAATCTGACAGTAATATTTAATGTTGCTTCCAACATAAAAGAGTCCTACATAAAATTTTGACATAGTTGCAACCCGCCATTTGATTTGTGTTTTTAATTGTGGCCCCCGACCTCATGTAAGTTGGAAACCCCTGATTTAGATAAAAACTTTAAAATTATTTTTATATATGGAAGTATAGTATAGTACCTTAATAATTTAAGTAAAATAAATTATAAAATAATTTATATAATTTCTTAAGGCATAATTCAGCAATAAATTTTCTATCCAAAACATTCAACAATAAAATTATTCAGGTCAAGAGAACAGAAAATTACCTAGTAGGTAATAAAATCATTATGATGAAAAATTGCAATACAAAAATAAAGTAGATAAATAGAAAAAAAAATCAAAGTAGTTACTTCATCATAGTTTAAGTCATTGAACTTCATAAATTTGGCTTTAGTTTTAGTATGCTCTCCAATGAAACGATACCGAAATAGATCAACTTCTTGAGTAATAAACCATCGACGCAAATCTTCTCTATAAAATAAGCAAAGTTTAAAAAAGTGACAAAAATACAATATTCATCAGGTCCAAAAACCTTACAAATAATTTATAAGAAGATAAAACATTGTGCCAAGATTAACTGTAGCAAATCTTATTCTTCAACAATGAAATGTGTAGAGTTCACGCCGGTATGACGATATTGCCACAACTGTCGCCAAATGCTATACGAATGTTGCTAAAATTGTATGAATGAGCGATAATATCATTGCCTTGAAATATGCTTGGAAGTTACAAAATAGTAACAAAAAATAGTTTGTTTTCTTTGCATTGAAATTCTTGCATTTAAAATAATTAATGTTATTCTACACTTAATTTAGGTTTTAGTTTAAAGTTTTTTCAACCAGACAATTATTATTTTTAAACTTTTTTTATGCCGCTTATCGATATATGTGATGATAAAAATCATTATGTATATACATATTTTTCTCAAATGTGACGCTATAAAATCGGATATTTCTTCATGTACTGACGCTATAGTTGGTCATCAATAAAAAAATCTTTTTTTGCTCTTTTAAAATCTACTTTACTTAGAATTTCTAGACAATTTTTTATACAATATTTTATTTAATCTGCATGTTGAATCGGTTTACTAATATTATTTAAACTTTTTTTTTCATTTAATTTTAATAAATTCTAAGCTTTAATCATTATGAGGTAATGAACCTAATTTGTTTTAGAGCGTAATAGATGATAATTAATAACTTTTTGTGTGTACCATAACATGAATCATGCAGGTAAAGTTAACATGAATTGTTCCATATTTTTTTCAAGTTTTTCTACTATGTTAATTTTGTTGGATTAAATATATACCTAGGTGGTCAGATAGGACCACTAAATTTCAACTGCTGGGGTAAACTTAAAAATATGTAATTTTTAACTACAGTAAGGGCTAGGGTTCAATCCTCAGTAGCGACTAGAAGCTCATACAGTTTCATATCGCTGGACCTGTGTGTAATGTTAATCAAATTACCACAATCATGTTATTGGTCATAAAATTATGTAGCCAGGGGGCTGTTGCAGGGACATTATTTTTAATTACAGTACTTAATTTGCTATTTTAATGATTTTAAAACTATCGTATAATTCAATATTAGGATTATCAGCAAAAAGTCAATCATAAGAACTTGGAAATGAAATTTTAAAAAAATAATAAGCAGAAAAGTGGACTGTACATTACCTACGACAATATGCTAAACGAAGTATAAAATGAGAAATGTGATCCCTTCTTCTCTCTAGAATACATTTTTGTTCTTCTTCTTGGGCATTTGGATTTGTCTAAAAATAAAAAAATAATAAACATGATTGATGAAATAAAAATCTGTAATATTGAACAATATATTTGAAACGAGCCAGTGTTTTCACTACAGCGCGAGAATCTCGCATATTTTTTCCTTTCTCGCATTAAAAAATTATTAACACGAGAAGTTCGCGCACTCTATTAATCGATTTTAAAATGCTCGAATCTCTCGAATTCTGGAAAAAATTTCGTCTTCCACCATTTTGAAAAAGACATGAGTTAGAAAAGAACAGCTATGACAAGGGTTGAGAAAATAATAAGTTGTTTAAAGCTGCTCTATTTTTAGTTGTTACTGAATTACTCAACTCACTCATCGACAATTTACAGCAATTTGAAAAAGTTGAAGTCTGCGAAAACTATGCTGGAAGACCTAACAAGAAGTATGAACATGGAAATAACTTCAACGAACTTTATTATTCTATAGCAGAAATAATTGAAAAGTTAGTGATTACTCAATGACTCCGGAATTACTTAGTGACTCCGAATAGTTCAGCATCTGTTGCAAGGTCATTTAGCACTCAAAACCGTATTAAGACAAAATATTGTAACAGATTGACTGATAAGCATTTGAGCAACCTAATGAGAATAGCTGATGAAAAAGTAGATATAGAACCTTTTCCATGTGATAATGCAGCAAAAATATTCAATGCTTAAAAAAGTAGATGTTAAAAATGTATTATAATTAAAGAAATATTTTTTTTCCATGTCTATTCATGTTTTTTTTTTTTTAATTTTTAGAAATCTCACTTAACTTTTTGAAATCTAACCCAGTTTTTGAGAAAGAGTGAGAAATTCTCTCTCATTTTTTTTCTGTAATGAAAACACTGTGAGCTATCAAAAAATTCTGTAATTATAAAATTTTTAAGCTTAAACTAATTCTTTGCTGCAGTGAGTATCTATTATTAATTAAAGAAACTTCTTTACAATAACAAATATTGTGCTTTTCAGTTACACTTTAGAAATAAACAACTGAACTATTTGTATTTCTTTCATTGTGAAAATACAAATATACATTTAAAAAAATAATTTTCATTCAAATTCAATATTAAATCATTCATGGGCCAAATCATCACAAGTTAAACGACTTTCATAGATAGATTTCTCTGTCAAAAACAAGTGAAAAGCATTACTTTGTAAAGTTTCAAAACAGAGAAAATTATATAAATTTTAAAATTCGGAAAAACTAATGACAGAGTTTAGTGCATAATTTTAACGATAGAACAGAGTCAACTAATTTTAGCAATGAATTTAAAAGAAAACTAAACCTAATTTATTTTTATTTTCACAAGTACAATAAATGTCACAAAATGCATTTAAATAAATGCAACCAATTTTTTGATGTTGGGATTCAATGTCAATTACAGATTTGGACATTTTAGCTTTGAAGCATTGAATCACTCTTTAATTAAGCTAGAAAATTAAGCATCACGTAAAACTATTTTAGGCTATTTAATATTCGGAATTTAGTTACTAAATATACGAAACATGATAAAAATTTATGAAAGATAATAATTTATTTATTCTTTTAAATTTTTTTAGCAAATTTTGGAAAGTATAGATTTTATTTTCGCATGCAGGAGTTTGTCCAGGGCAAATTTACTGCCGTTTAGCAGTACTTTCACAAATTCAATTTTAGGAAAAACGGTAGTTTCGAAAAATACTTTTAACATATTTTTGAAAAATATATAAATATTTTTGAAAATATTTTTGTACTTTACCATATTTTCTGTGTTGATTTTTTAATATTTTTAAATTTCACAAATTATGCCTACATATTCACAAAATAGGCACCTCTCAAAAAAACCTAGACGGGTGTATTTAAAAATGGCTTTATCAATATTTTCTTCAAAAATAATCATAAACATTATATAATCTAATTATTAAAGTTAATTAATTACATGCAATATAGATACTTTACAACGACAGACTAGAATGTAAAGAGGAGTTTATTTCACTAATAAAATTAAAACACATAAAAGCCATCAAAACAAGTAAGTAGTCTACTAAATAATTACATGCAACTTGTTAAATGACATTTTGTACGAAACTATAAAAATAATAGGTGAAACATACTTACAATTTTTGTATAATGAGAAAGAGAAGACTTTTTTAATTCATTGTTAATCATTTCTCGATACTCATTGGAGGTTTTGTTGAATTTAGCACCAGCTCGTTCAATAAGCCTTAACACTGTTGAAAACAAAAACCACAAAATTTAAAATCAAACTTGTTTTAAAAAATCTAATAACTGATAAAACAAGCAAGTCATTGCTCAATTTCATAAGGCAACAATAAAGATTACAAAGCAATCTTAACCAACACAACATTACAAACAGAGTAAGCCTGGTTGCCTAGACAGAATCCCTTTGGCCCACGGCTCACTGAGGCTGGAAATCTAGACTTAGACTTAATTAAAAATCAATAAGTAAAATGAGCAACAACAAAAAATTAACACTCCGAATAACTTTTGATTCAATGATTGCTCTTTTACACATTAGGGCATAATCTCAATTATACTTGAGAATGTGACCTCAAATATGCTAATTAGTTAATGAAGACAATATTTTAAATTACAAAATCAGGCACAAAAACGTACTTTCTCTGAACAATTTTCTCTGTACTTCCCCCCCCCCAAGAATTATGATTCATTACTCTTAAAATATGGAGGTACAAAAATATAGTATCAACAGTTTGGTCAGGAGAGCTGTCGAAAATTTGGACCCCATAATATTATGCTTACTTTTGCCAGATCTTGAGAACTTTTAACAAATTGAAATATTTTTCAACACAATTACTCGAAAATTCATTTATGCAAAGAGAATTCAAGGCAAAAAAATAATTTTGAATAATTACTAATTCATTTAATAATAGTCAAAAAATTTTGACATTATTTTAAAGAATGAAATTTAATATGGCAAAATATAAAACTTCGACAAAATCCTTTGAATAGTTCTTGAGAAATAAAATTTCGAAAATCCGACTTCATTAAAATTCGTTTTCTCAGGAACTATTTGACATATTTCGCTTAAATCTTTAATTTTGTCACATAAAATAACAGTCTTTAACTTTTTATTACATTCTTTATCAAATCTACATTCAGACTGAATATTGCTAAAAATGTCTGCAGTACTTTTGGGGAAAGGGATGTTTTCTTACAAATCATTGTAAAATGATAATTTAAGTGACATATTAACTCATACTGTGTTTAACAGAAAAAAAAATTAAATAAGTCAAATGATTTTAATTACCTTTTAACCTTTCCAAGGCCAAATCTTCAAATTCCTCTAATGTGATGACATCTGTTGGTGGAAATTTATAAAATTGCAAGGAAAAAGGGTACAAATTCTCAAGTTTCCCAGATAAAGACTGTTGTCTTCGTTGCCTATTTGTGTTAAACTGCATTTTCTAAGTTGAAATATCTTAACCTAAGAAAATGAGATATTTTATCATGATATAATATGTATAAAAAAGTAAGAAATTTATCTCATTCTTCATGAAAAAAATCAATATTTACTTAATATTTATATAGAAAAGAAATATTAACAGAAAGATTTCAACTTCCAGTTAAGTTTTTTTTTTCCTTCTGATATTTGAAATATTAACTACATTGTCAGAAGTTTTTGTCGCTTTTGAATGATAAAATTAAATATCTCATTAACAATAAATGGCTATTTAAATAAATTAGAGTTAGTCTAAAAATTGAATTTTCAAACAATATAAAAACAAGCTTGAACCATAAAATTTTCTATGTTACTAGATCATAAAAATCAGGTTAATATATATTTGTAATAAACATCATTTAGGTAGTAAACTTTTCTGCTTAAGCTTAACAAGATACACACACATTTACAAAGATCAGATCAATGCTTCATTAGCTATATTAATGCTTAAAAATTTAATTATTTGATCTCATTTCATAGCAAACAACCAAAAGTTAACAATTGATTGAAAAAAGAAAATAAGAGAGAAGTTTTTAGCAAGAGAAATTTTAAAAATTAATTTAAACTTCTCTCAGTTGAGATCCAACACTGCTTTTCGTTTGAGATTTTTAGTAATAATTTTGTAAAAAGTAAAAGGTGAGAAGAAATTTGTTTTCGAACTGTGAGAATAACTGTTATATTTAGATAGCTCGTAATCAATATTCTTCGGCTTTCTTTGTTTGGCTTATCTTAAAACGTTTGAAGCAATGGTAATTTTTTGAAACTTTGAATAACATTCTTAAAATAAAATAAGTAGCTTAGTTTTAAAAGATAATTACTCCTTTTGTGCATGCGAATAAATGTTCACGAACTGAAAATGTAAACCAAAATATTTAATTCGAACTGATTTTTACATGCAAGAAAAATATCACGAAACAACAGAATACGCTTATTTCATAACGCTTTTAGAATCAAACATTATAGTCATAAAAACAAACGTCAAACAAAAAGAACATAATTTTGAAATACTTTATTTGGCCTCCAATATCTTTTGATTTTATTTTCGATTCAGAAACAAGACCGAACATAAAAAACAGGAAGATTCATTTCCTTCACATTCGCGCCAAAAGAGTCCGGCGGTATTTGTTTACATGTTTGCATTGCCATATTCAAACTGTTCAATGAAGAAGTAATAAATTTTGGTTTAAATCTTTAAAAATGCTTACTATAATTAAATTTTTGTTTCTAAATCCCTTAACATAATTTATTACAATTTTAATTTACTAATAAATATCATTGCTTGTTACATAAGGAGGAATATTAAAGCCTTCAAATCTGGCAGCAGAACTAAAACTTCTGATTGCTGCGCAAATTGTCAACAAAACAATCGCCAAACAGTATAATTAGCGATTACATCTGATTTTTTGGAAATTACCGACGACTTAATTAGTTTGTTAAAGGATACCTTTTTATGGGGTATATATTAGGCAAAAAAACATGCAACTATTCGGAGAAGAAATAGATTTACCATCTTCTGTCACTGCTTACGGATGGGTTCCGTTTGTTGTTGCTATTCTGGTTAGTTTCATTTTTAATGTCAAGAGATTGTTGCTCAGAGTATTCTGACATTTAATAAAACGATTACTTTTAAGGTTCCGCTTGTTGTTGCTATTCTGGTTAGTTTCATTTTTAATGTCAAGAGATTGTTGCTCAGAGTACTCTGACATTTAATAAAACGATTACTTTTAAAGTTCAAGAAAAAATAATCGTATGTTAGTTTTAATATTAAAAAATAAAAGTATTATCATTAATTAATAATTTAAATACTTATTTCTTTTTTGAAGACAAATCGTTCTTTCTTACTCATAAAAATCCCACTTTATGTATATATGAAATCAGCAAACTTTATTGGATCTACCATTTGAAATTAAAAAAATAAAACTCTTAAAAATTCAAGATATCTTCACTAATAGCATACTGTTATTCTTTCATCGTTTTCTCCTTTAAATCGTTCTCATAATTAGTTTTAAAAATCTCTATTGATGAAGTTTGAAATTAGTAATTTGATAGCATTATTGTAGTTTAACAATTTTTACCTGTAATATAAGCAAATTTTAGTTTTTTTTAAAGAAAAACAGAAAAATGAACATTCTAAAATTAAGTTTTAAAAATACTTTTCTTATATTAATGAATGGCAATAATTATTGTTTTTAATCTATAGCTCAGTATCCTGTTTTCTTACGTATATGTGAAACATTTCTGGTGCCGCACAGATCGAAATAAATGTTGTGCTATTGTAGCTGTAATTGGTTTGAGCATAGCTCTTTTGGCATCCTCCCTACTACCAGTAGATGTATTTTTGGTATCTTATATGAAAAACACAGATGGATCATTTAAAGTAAGTTTAATACTTAAATTATATAAAAATTTAGCCAGTTTTTTTTTATTTATTGACATTTATTCTTGTATGATTTAATTCTATAGAAACTTCTGATAGCCTAATGAAAAGGCTTATAAAACATATACATTACGAAGTTTTTAGAATATAATGAATTTAAATTAAATGTGATACTATGTCTAATAAATGTGATAATATGTCAACTGTACTAATAAAACTTACTATATGTTGAAGCTATTAATTTCTACTTATGATGATGTGCTTGCTGAATTTAGAGTTAACTAATTTAGAAGTTAGAGAGATTTTATTCAGAAACTATCGTATTCAAAATCAATGTTTTAACAAATGATAAGTCAAGCATCACTGGTTGCGGTCAGTGTGCAGGTGGGTGACCACTTGGATCAGCCTGTGTTGGGACCGAGGGTGTGCAGTATTGATCCTCGTTAAACTGTTCTACCATAAAGTGCTCGACTTTGCATGCAGGTCGTTGGGCTACCAAACCGGGGTTGCCATCTCCTCTGCAGAGGATCGAAATTGTGATGGCATGTCTTCGGATCATCCTCAAGGATGTTTCCCAAACCGTCGCCAATAGCCCATTGTGCGGCTCTAGTGTGACATAAATTAACTACAACTACAGCAACAATTTAACAAATGAATTTATACGTCTATTTAGGTTTTACCTTAGGCAACTTATTCTAAGAAAAAGTAGGCTTTTTATATTTTATAAAGCATTATACAACTTGTTTAAACCTCATAGAAAAATTTCCATGAGCAGATATATTTAAAAGTGCATAGCAGACAAAATGTATTGTGCTAATATAGTAGTTAAGAATTATATTTTATATGAACAAATTCAATGGATTTTTTTATGATTACTAATGGAATAAAATTATGTTTTTGAATGTTGCTTCCTAAAACCACCTTTTATTAATTTAAAAAGGAAAAATTTGAAATTTTATTTTCTTTTTTACATAACTGATTAGTAAAGTAAAACATCTCAGCCACAACCTGTTTTAGGCTAGGGAAGTTGTGTGGACCTTAAGACTTAATTTTGTGACTAATGGCATGATTGTAGCAATAGGTTTAGTGTTAGACATAAGACTTCTTTACTTCTCTGAGAAGCTGTTACCCTTTGGTATGAAGCTAAATAGACTTCAAGCCGCAACTGATGATCAAACCCTTGCGGTTCATAATGACAGCTCAGTACCTTTAACTACTGGGCTAGCATTATTAGGTTAAATAAAAAATATATCTTTATTTTTTTTGTAAGAACTTTACATTTCTTGGTATTTTTTGCCAAGTAAACAAAGTTTGAGCATATTACTTGATCTAATCTTGATTTTTACTTTTGCATCCATTGCATATTCATTGATTGTGGAGTTAATATATTTACATTTTCACTAATTTAAATCTTGAACTTCATTTTGCTCTTAAATTTTATTTTTACTTTGCAGCTAAAGATGCATATTGCGTCCCAGGGAGCCAAATGTAGCCTTTGAGTGGTTTATGTGTGCTCCCTGCATTCTGACCAAAAAAAATATTTAGAAAATAAAAAGAAAATACATTTTATAGCTGGTTTTCAAGCCAATTTCAATAAACTTCACAATATAAAGATACTGATTCAAAAGATTTAAATCTTTTCAAATTTTTTTTAAATCAAAAACATGTTCAAAATAAATGAAATTTAAGGATTTAATAAAAGGTATAAGCATCATATATTTAATAAAAAATAATAATTCTAATTTTTCCACAAAAAGTTTGAAAACCTCTTTTTTTTAAAAATAAATAAATAAATAAGATAAAGTTTAAAACTTTTAAATGTTTTTTAATTAAAAAGTATCTGATATGTATTTTGTCTTTGAACTTTTAATGCAAATTGATGTTGTTCTAATTCTACTTAGGTATAAATAAGTTACTATTCATAACTATAATTCCAGTCCACAAGAACTAAAATAATTTTTTTTCCGACTCTCTTCCAAAAAAATTTGTGCTTCCATAACATCTACATGTTGAGAATGTTGCTTGTATGATTTGCCAGATATTTTCTATATTTTATAAACTCAATTTTTACATATTTTATAGCGAACAGTTTTATATTGAAAGTTTATTTTTTTAAATTTATTTTTCCACTTAAAGATATACTTTTAAATTACAATAAGCAATAAATTTTAATTTGGTTTTTATATTCTTAAATTTTTTTTTTCTTCCATCTTGATTGAATTATGAATGTTTTTAACCTTTTATTTTTCTTCTTTTCAGGATTGGGCTACGAATTCAACTCGCCAAGCTTTAGAGAATTCGGTGTCTTATACATATTATGGTAATTATCATAACATTTTGAAAATGTTCTTTGAAGCTATTGACTCTAGTCTGACGGTATTAATTTTCAAATGTTATTGATTCCAAATTTAAATAGCTGAGATCTATATTTTTTATTTATTTATTTTTGTCAAATGCCAGTCAATTATTATCAAATGCCAAACATGCATATATTGAAAGGTATAGTTGATTATAATTTAAGTCGTTTTTCAAATTTTCATTGTATTATATCTGTCTATTTTATGAGCATCATATGTGCTTAAAAACGTTTTTATTATTTTAATTTATTTATCCATCTATTTTCAGTATGTAGATTCATTTCTATATTTAGTAAAAATATCTTATTAGGTAGAATTTGTTTTAGAATTAAGGTAAAAATTATTTTTTTTTTTATCAAGGAATAGTAAAATTATTTTCATTCTGACATGCTTTCTAACTTAGGATTCTAAATTGATCTCAGATTTCTTTGTATTTTTTTCTTAGTGATAGAAACACTTGATGATTGTTTCATGCCCAATTGTCAAGGGTTCAATTAAAACTAGTCATATTGCAAAAATAACTATTGAGAAAAAAGAAAAGATGCAAGAAAAATGAATATAGCTTTGAAAGTAATCATAATATAGTTAACTCTTTTTTTTATTTTCAGCCTTATATGGTATAATATTCTTCTACACATTCTTCATATTGCCATTAGCTTACTTTTCCTATGAAGAACAAGATGAAGACAATAGACCTTCAATTAGAGTAAGTCTTTTAATCCTTTGCCTGTATTCAAAGCGAAAAGACTCCTTTTTGTCATAAAATGATAATGCTAATTATACATTCATTGATAACTAAAATTTTATAAACAAGATTAGTTGTATTTTTTGAACTATGATAATAGTATTTTATACTGGGAAAAGAATTAAAAAATTAAATTTGAAACAGTGGGCAAGTTCTGTATCACAGAATTAGTGATTAGATATAATTAGAACTGTTACTGTATGTATAAGAGTTAAAATAGTTCAATAGATTTAAAATATAGAGAGTGGATGTATTCCCTTTTTTCTTTCTATGCAATTAAGTGATTTAGTGTTTAAAAGATTTTAATGACAAATTTTTATTTTACTATGAAAAATATATGGCAATATGCAAGCTGTATTTTTTATTTCAACTTTTCCATTGAAATAAAATTTTAAAAGTGGCTGTTTGTTCCGAATCACACTTATAAAAGATTGATGATATTTAGTGTATGCTACACTGGCTTTGTGTTTTAGAAGTTCCCTAATTTGTAGTATTTTAAAATATTTATTTTTAAAGCATAACAAGGATAGAAATTAAGAAAATTAAGTCACTATTCTAAGGGACCAGCAACTAAACAATATTACAAGCTCATGCATAATTTCACTGGTCAGTTTGAATGTCTTTATTAGTTTTTTTAAAAAGTTATTTATATGAATTTTTTAATAAAAAATTACAATTTAAAGACTGAATAATAATGATGAAATAAGTTATTTTTTGACAAAAACACAAAATCAAAAACCCTAAAAATCGTACTATTCTTTTACATCAGTTGCTTCCCTAGGGGTCCACTGATAATTTACTTTACTGTAGTCCAAGTCGAATTTTATTACTCTCAGATAAACGAACTGGTGCTAATTTCGTACTTTGTTTAATTCATTTGGTACATTTTTTTTCCTTCTTTTTAGTTATAAATGGCATTAAAAGAAATATATCCTCTCGTTGTGAATTATCTTAATTTTTATATTATTTTCCAGGTATTCACAACAGCTTTCTTGTACACTTTAGTATTTCTTCTGGTTATAGCTGGATTGTTGATTGCTGGGTAAAAAATTTATAATTTTTTTGAATTAGTAAAGCTTTTTTTTAATTCTTTTATGAATATATGTTTTGCATTTATTAGTTTGAACAATATAGGTGGGAATTTGCTCAGTTTCAAATAACTGTATAAATCCTATTTAAAATTGTTTATTAAACTAATAATCTTCTTTTTGAATTGTACAAAAATTTGAAACATGACTACCAAATCAATCTGCTGAGTCTCGCAGAAGAGTTTGTTTTTATTATTAAAGTGGTTACAAAATATGTTAATATTTTTATCTTTGTTTTTGAAAGTTGATTTATAACAATTTTGATTCCCTTGACTTTTAAGTAATTTAAGCAATATTTTTAAATATATTAAATATTTTTTAAAAATATCAAATACATAGTAAAAATAATTTGTGCTTACAATTATAAAATGAATTGTAATATTGTTACCACTACATAGAATCTATCAAATTGCTACCAAAACTAGAAAGCATAAAATTTTTTACCTGATGAAAAAAATTTAAAATTAGTTAAAATTTTAAGGAAATTATTTATTTTTATTTTCATGGTTGTTATCTTTACATCTTAATTTTAAGTTCAAGAAATGATTTTAAAAATTAAATTTTTTGATGGTTAAAGTTTTATTTTGGAATTTATTTTAATTCCAAATATCATATTTTATATATTATGTTTTAACTGTTTTTTTCATATTACAAAGCAAAAAAAAAAAACTTTTTTTAATATATATTTAATACAAAGTAAATAAACTTCACATTTATAATTAATACTTTAATTTGAATAAATTATTTTAAAATTTTAGATTAAAAGATAAAAAAAAATTGGAAACAAAATGGAAATATATTTATATTCTCATGAACAAAAAATTTAGATCAAAACTCTGTTTATAACCCTCTTTAAAAAAATAATAATTAAATTGCATGTAAGAAGAGGTGAAAAGCAGTTGATCTGAACAATATATTCCAAATTTTTTTATATTCTTATTATTTGGACAAATATATTTAAAATTTCATTTCAATATATTTATAATTATGTATCATGTTGTTTTAAAAATAATCTTATCATTTGTTTTTCTAAAAGATGTTTACATTTTGTTATTATTTTGTTAGATGTTTTGTAAATTTTTACTCACATGCCATTTCACATTCCTGTTTTTTGTACACTTTTATGAGCACTAAATCATTAATTTCTCAGATTGATAAGCACCGAAGTCAAGCATCACTGGCTACGGTCAGTGTGCTGGTGGGTGACCACTTGGATCAGTCTGTGTAGGGACCGAGGGTGTGCGGTATTGATCCTCGTTAAACTGTGCTACCGTAAAGTGCTCGACTTCGCGCGCAGGTCGTTGGGTTACTGAAGCGGGGGTGCCATCCCCTCCTCAGAGGATCAAAATTGTGATGGCATGTCTTCAGATCATCCTCCGGGATGTTTCCCAGACCGTCGCCAATAGCCCATTGTGCAGCTCTAGTGCGACGTAAATTAACAACAACAGCAGATTGATAAGTTTAATTTTTATGAAATGTTTTACTATGAATTTTATTTTTAAAAATTAGATTAAAATTTTACTTTTAAGGTTAAATATTATCAGAAATAATTATGCTAAGGAAAAAATACAGATTTCCGGATTTTTCAATAACTGTGCTCCGGAAATTCAAGATCCAATAGTTTTAAGAAATTATCAATCACATTTGTGTATAAAAATTCTTGTATATTTTATTTAAAAATATTGGAACTAGAATTTATACTTTGCATCTCTTTCATTTGTAAATATTTTTTTCTGGTAGAATAATAAATGTGATTAGAGATAAAAGTAAACTTATACATTATTATTCATTTATATCAATGATTTAGGGCATTAATTTTTTGAATGTGTCATTAATGGTTTTACTCAAGAAGTTTTCAGGATTTTTTAATTGGGCTCACAATCACCCTTGATATTATATTAAAATAAATTATTTGTTTTTCTTTTTGAAAATATACATTCAATTGTTTCAACAATACAGTGCTTCACGAAGTAAAACAAATTAATAAGAATGGGTTCCTTATAAACACTGTTTTATTGTTTAACTACTCAAAGCAATTTATAGGGCAGGAAATAGTGCAAGTCAAAATGCAGTTTTCTGTGTGCAAAACTGTTATAAATTTGAATGTTAAAGAGTATGGCTTTTATAATCTTATATAACTTTACAAAATTTTATTTCAATTTTTCTTTCAATTTAAACATTTATATTTATTCTTTCAGTGTCTTCATACCTTTCAAGTCTGTACCTCCATCAAATTCAACAGAGTGGGGGAAAATGGAATTTTTGATTAAGGAATTATACAAAAGTAGTATGTAAATTTTTTGATGCTCGTTCTTTAAATTAAGTGATAAATTTATTTATTTATTTAAAAATATAACTTAAATTGGTTAGCTTCAAATAAGTCAAATATAAATATTTATTACGCATTTTTTTAAAATGCATTTAAATGTCATATCGATATTACAAGTTATACTTAACTAAACTCAGTGGCGCGACAGCCCATAGAGGGCCAAGGCCTTCTGTGCCCATCTCAGTTTTCTTGACCTTGGGCTCTGGGGTACAGTGCAGATGTTCCGGTCAGGTGGTCAGCCGAACACGGAACCCCCAGTGTTTAGTTCCCAAGCATGCTTGGTACTCATTTATCAACCCACTGAAGGGATGAAAGGCTGAGTCAACCTTGCCCGGCTCGAGGATCGAACCCAGGACCTGTGGCACAGGAGCGCAAAGCGCTACCACTCAGCCACCGGGCGTCATTACAAGTTATAACCAATAAAAAAAATTTAGCACTCAGATTAAAACAAATGAAATTAAATTAACATTTGATATGTTTAAATTAACTTTAATTCTTGTTTTTAGTCTTTTAATATTTCAAGTTTTAGATCTAGAAGTGTGGAAAATCCATTTACATAGATGATTAGCCAAACTATAAATCTGAATTTAAAATTTTAAAGCCTTTGTTATTCTAACATAAATTAATGGTTAGTCTTAAGCAAACTTCAACTCAAAGATTTAACTGTTAAAATTATGTAATTACAAATTTTACTATTAAATACAAATTTTTGTCAATTATTATTTAGTGATTATTAATTTTTTGACTAGTGTTCTAATTATGGGAAATGAAAGGGCAAAAATGATAGTTAAAAAAACCTGTTTTATATCTGACATTATTGTTGTGTACTTATCACTATATTGTTCAACAAAAATACTTATTACTGATTCTAAGAACTGATCTCTTTTTAAATTGTTAGTTTTAAGTTTACCTTGGTAATTCTTATTTTATTGTTGTAGGGGGGAAAGATGCTGTCTCATTTGTTGTAAATGTTATCACAATATATGGCATGATGAATCTCATATTATATACTGTAAGTAATCAATTGATTAATTACTTTGTAAGTTATTAAATAACATTTTCTTCCGCAAAATAATTAAATAACATGACACAATTTAATTATTCTGTTGAAATTACAGTACACTCTCGATTATCCGTGCGCGGATTATCCGGTTTGTGGATTATTCGTGCTCATTCCGGAGTCACACAAAAAATATAAAGAGAAACATTTTCAAGATTAAAAAAATTTGATTCATAAAGTTATAACACTACCAAATTTTTGGAAAGCAATATTCGTTATTAGATTGCAGTACATGGAACAAATCGTCTACATTATGGATGATATGGAAAATCATCTACGTTATGGATATGGAAAATCATCTACGTTATGGATGATATGGAAAATCGTCTACGATCATGGAGAAAGATGATACCGCTTGATGAAC